AATAACGGAAAAATTTATTTACTAAGGGGAAAACCCCAATAAAATATCAGAGGATAGTGAAAATTGGTAGAAAAGCTTTTCAAATATTCCAGTTTTTATGACGAATGATATCCTTTGTTTTTTTTGAGTTACCAAAGAGGCCCAAGTTGAAGAAGCCGAAGGAAACCAGTACTTGACTGACAACAGTTCATTAGGTGAGAAAAGCAGTTAAATGCCTTTCAGAAATCGTTCACTTGTGCAGACTTTGCACCGATGATGAACAGAAATTATTGAATATATTGTTAATTAACTTATCATTCTGAAATTTTTCCTGGTCCAGCAGGTCTAAATACTCGCGGCACTCCTCACTTGTTTGTAATTTCCCCGCCCATAGGATACCACTTCAATGGGTTCCATGTCTGATATGGGTACTTGACCATACGCCAGATATCTTTTATTTGATGTGTTGTGACAAACTAGACGTAAATTTATACTCAACTAAACTATTAACACTCCTTCCTCTATGTGCCCCCGCCTAAGCGAAAACTTATACTTAACTAACCTGAGCTAAACGTAAATACACAACAGACCTTACAGATGCATTAAACTAAACTTAACTAAGAACGCATTTAACCCAACTTATATTAGATACAACTTTTGGTTATAATTTCAGGGGCAGACAAAAGTGAAGCTTCCTCAAGCGATAACGGAGTGGATTTTTATGCTTCGTTGTCCGTAGCAGGTAGATAGGACTGACTTGGGTTAAAATCAAACATATTCATCATAGGAAAAAATCTCTAATGGACTCCATGTAATTAATTGTTACATGACCCAGGTGGTCCTAGCTGGGAAAAGTAAACAGAATCTAAGATAATGAAAACATAAATAGTAGCCATAATATGATGATGTTGATGACCGTGAAGACAGTGATGACGATCATTCAAACCTTTTTTTTTTTTCAATTTTCGACTTGGGGAAAATTCAAGTTTCATCATTTGGAAAAATAAAAGATTTAGAGATCGGCAGTTCCGCAAGTACAGAATAAAACTGTAAATAGTGAGGAAGTATATTGTAATCATAAGTCTGGTTTATTATTTAAATTTTGGTTTGAAATGAATTAATAGGTAGCCACATCTAATTCAATGATCTAATGCTTGAGAACTCAGCAGCAATAAAAAGCAACAATCACTAACAAACAGGGGTGAAAAGAGTGTAATTATTTTTCTTGATGTATCATATTTGACGTTCTATATAAAGTAGGGAGATTAATTTCTATAAATGTATTATTCTTCATTGTTTAAAGGAAAAGTCCAAAGCACAACCCAATATGTTTGATTCTTTCCTAATTTTTAGCTACTTCGGAAGGGAAAGATTCAGCAAACCAAGAAAAGGTGAATCTGGAGGATGAGCTTTTATCAGGTGAGAGAGATAAAACAGTAAATGACTGGCACTTCTCAAGTTTGTGAGAGAAAAAAGACCTATCAAAATAATTAAAACACAAACAACTGAATCATTACGGCTAAAAGTTCTCTTTGCTCAAAGTAAAATCAGCAAACAAACAAAAAAATGGCGAAATGTGTTTAGCGCCGATCTTTTTACCACAACTCCCAACATAAGTTTTTTTCTCTTTCAATGGACAGATACTTATCTATTTTGATAGTCTAACAGGAAAGTTGTCAACTAAGCTATCATGAAAATCCCAATTGACCGTAAATGGTTTCCTTTTGTGACATTTATTATTCTATGACTTTTATTATCCTGTCAAATTTATCAAGAACAATTCTGATAACAGTAATGATGATAATGAAAGCACAACTGATGAATAGCAACAATGATAACGGTGATGATCATCATTTAAACAATCTGTTGTTTATACTTTTAGAGCAGGAGAAAAGTCAAGTCTTATCCTCTGGAATATCAAAGGATTTAGAGATCGGCAGTTCAAAAGGTACAGGATTATACCTTCTCTTGGTGTGCGTTTATTGTTATAGTGGCTGATTTATTGAGCGTCTTGGTTGCTTTAAATCAAAATTCAGCAGCACCTATTTTAATGGTTAACAGCAGTAAAAAGCAACAATAAGAAAACCTTGGGCCAAAAAAGGCTACATTCATTTTTCTTGACGTATTGTATTTATAAACGTATTTGGTGGTTGCTTTCTAAAAATTTATTATCCTTCATTGTTTTCAAACAGTTTCCAAAGCACAACCCAATGTGTTTAATTATTTTCTATTTTTTTAAGGTTCGTCCGAAGAAAAAGTTAAAGCAATCCAAGAAAAACTGGATTTGGATGATAAACTTTCTTCAGGTGAGAGAAATAAACAGAAAAAAGATAGTGGTAATTTAAGTTTGTAACCACTGAATACAACACGCGCGATAAAATCAAACATAACGTCGAACAAACTGAACTCTGAAAGTGTTCTTCGTTCAAATAAATTTGTGTTCTTCGCTATTTCAAGATCATTTTACATCCAAGAAGGAATCAGATGACGATGGAAGCAAATCAAAAGGTACAAGAGATCAATGTAAACTGAATAAATGTAAGCGTAAGTCCGAAATTAAATCAAAATCCGAATCCTGGTATATGTATTAGAGGTTGAAAAAACAAAAGTCATCATAGATCGTGAGTGTTTTAATTATTAATATGTATTGGTATTTCATTTGGAAAAGAGGACAACATGGCAACTGATGAAAACGTGGCTGCTGCTGACAACGGTTCCCCAGTTGAGGGAAAAAATGAGGCTTTATCAGATTTTTTCTATGATTGTAACGATCAGTGAGTGGAACAAAAAAAACCACGACGGGTCACGGTCGCTCTGACGAAGGGCTAACACTCGAAACGTCGGCTTTTAAATTCTTGAAACGATGAAATTACCCTGTTATACTCTCCCACCGACGCAGCAGTACAGTTCCTTTAGAAACTTACCCCACTAATTACAGGTCACAACTCATTATATTATTATTATCACCCGTTTCATTTTAGTTATCAAAGAGACACAAGTTGAGGCAGCTGAAGGCAACGAGGACTTTCCTTTCAACAACTCATCAGGTGAGAATCGATCGTTGCTCAGCTTTTTTGTATGTGCCATAACACAAGAGCTTGCATTGGAAGAGTTTGTGAACAAATAGGGTAAATTATATCATTAAACATACTAAGACCTTTTTCATCCAACCCTTAGGGTTAGGCATCTTCTTTCTCTCATTCCAATCAATATAGTCACCAAATGAAGCGTTTTTAAACATTTGCACCAAATTAAAGCCCAAAAACTTGATCAACTTATCGGTCCTCACTCATCACTTGAAAGCCTCGAAACTGTTGTTACCAATCCAGAAAATCTTCCACTTTCCGACTTAGGGCTAGAAATCGGTCCACACTAAGGGCTTAAATTTTATTACCATTTTTAAAACCATTGACGAAATTTTAGTTAAGCAAAACGTCGAAAAATTTCTTCGCGTTCAATTTCATAAAGCCTTTTTCCATGACAAAGAGGGTGATTCTAACAGATTAGAAATCGGTACGGTTGTCCATTGGGATGCCAAAACAGATATTCCACTTCATCATGGGTCACTAAAATGGAAAATTGGTTCAGTTGTGACACGCGCAAAAGATATCTTACATATCTTCGTTATAATTTCAGAGAACAAAACTTCAGATGATAAAGATGTGGATCTAGACGACGACCCCTTAGTAGGTAAGTGAGAAGACTAACGTGTTCCACAAGACGTAAGATAAGACAATCTGTAGTCATCTACTATCCTTCTTACACTCGGAACAATTCAACCGTAGCTAGTAGAACGCTTTACGATTGAGTGTCGTAAAAGCGAAACTAAAGCAGCAAGTAACGAAAAGGAATTACTACAAGGAGCCGATGAGAAATTTAAGTGGAAACAAGGAAACTGCGCATACCTGACGCGCAGGAAAACAAGAGCGACCCAGCCGCAATTCAACTTGTTATATTTTTTATGGAGGGTAAGTTTCTAGAGAAACTGTGGTGCTGCGTCGGTGAGGGAATATAACTATATAATATTTGGTTTTATCAACTGAGTTGATAATGTAAAATTTGCTACCGCAAAAAGTTTCAAAGCTGACGTTTCGAGCGTTAGCCCAGTTCGTCAAAGAGAATGACAAAGGGCTAACGCTCCAAAAGTCAGCTTTGAACTCTCTATGGTGGCCAATTTACGTTATCAACTAAGTTGATAATACTACATTACCTAGTTCTAGTGTGAAATCTGACTGACTGCCTGAGAGGCGCAAGTTTTTGAGCAATCCTTAAGCGAAAGGAAAATCAAAGCAATCCAAGGTTATTCTCTACATTCAGTTGGAAATTTCTCTGTCGGAACGTTGCTGAAGATGAATCAAGAGTTTGAACTGATTTGGTGTAAATTGTCCATCTCCCGTCTAATAGAACGAAGTTGTTGAAAGGAAAGTGAATCTTTTTCCGAGAGTAACTTTGATCACCATTCTACTGCGCGAGAAAACATAGTCGCACTAGCCTTTCTTACAAAAAAAAAAAAGATCTATTGAAAAAGTGACGCACGCGTCTTGAAATACTCATGTGATGGAACGCTATGAACAGCATCTGCAAGAATGGCAAAAGAGGGCATGGTAACGAATCCTGCGATCTGATTGGTTTTTTACCCGGTCAGTATTTTCCTAGCTCTGCTCAGGGGCAACGGTTACGCTTTCGCGAGTCGCCGAGTACATTCCTACTTTCCTTGCAATTTTTTATAAATATATTTCGTTTTGCCAACTGGGCAGTACTTGAAGCAAAGACGTCGGTCACTACCTCAAGCCGATAAATAACTTATTAATCCTCTCTTTTCTCTCTCTCAAATCACTTCGGTTGACAGAAAAATATCGGTTTAAGAATGAATTGTATAAGCAATAATGTCATTACGTTGGTTGACAAGCGGCCTAAAAACCGCCTGCAATTAATTTTAATCGTTCGGGTATTGTAAGTAATTAGTCATAACGAGTAATATTCCGGTGTTTCCTGTATTTTTAGTGAGAGCAAAGGATTGTTTTCAGCAAGGTAACAAAGAATACAGACAAGGAGATTTTCATAGAGCGCTACAACTGTACACTGAAGGACTTCAACTAAACTGCAAAGATAATCGGCTGACAGCCAGACTCTACAATAACAGGGCAGCAGCTCATTTCCGTTTAAGTATGGAATTTCAACGTTCAATTATTTATAGTTTACTTAAAAGTTCATCTTCAAAAAGAGTCATGTGCTCCCTTTTTACGCTAATTTTTCTGATCGTTTATCTATCACTCCGAATGACTTAAAGGACTTCCAGTAATATAACGGCTACTCAAGATAAAGACTCCAAATCTTGTGACCTATAATAAACCGAAATCCCCGAGAAGAGCTTTATATCAGTCACGACCCTCTTTAATTTCACGTCGAGCGTTCAAGTTCAAGTTTTAGGTCCTAATGGTAAAAAAGGGGAAAATTAATAAACCAATCCCGTTATCACCTGCACTTCCCATATGTATTCTCCCCACCAAATCCTCCCTCCTCCCCCAACCGCGTTATCGAAGGTTATATGAGGGGGCCCAAGTCTTTTTAAGGTGAAAGAAAACCCGGAATTAGTTGTAAAGAGGCCTGTTGAAAGCGAATCTGTTACTCTTTTTGCAATTCTATCGAATGCAAATGACCGGTTAGCTCTAAATCCCTCTTTTAGAAAACTTTGAAAACAGCCTAGATGATGCCACAGTTGCTGTACAATTGGAGCCAACTTTCATCAAAGCCTTGGAGAAAGGTGAGTTTAATTTTAGTCGCCTTTCAGTGGCGATAGCTCCCTGGCTACGTACGTTGAAGTAGATGTTTCTGGTTCAAATCTACGCGGTCACGCACCATAAATCTTCATTTGTGAATTGAAAATGCCAATATTTTGGCTTCTTAAAGAAGGCACTTAGCTATTTATCACTAATCCTTATTTTTATAGGAGCTGAAGCTTGTGTGCAGCTTAAGTTGTATGATGAAGCAAAGATCTGGTGTCATAAAGGATTGGCCGTATCCTTTGAAAAATACATTCGTTTCTAAGACGTAAAAAAACTCCAGTGATTACCACTTTAAGCTAACTAAGAAAATCTAGTGCAAATTTAAGACGTCCAATGATTTTCAAATTTTTCAATTTTGATTTAAAAGCTGAATTTTCGGTGGTCTCTAGCTGTCAGTTTCAGTCACTTTTCCCGGTGAAATATGAGTATGATTTATGTTAATGCCATTAAAACCAGTTCTTACACCATTTCCTGCTAACAACGCAAACGATATAACCCGAAATAACTAACGACAAATAGTAAAAGACTTTCCCAAGATGATATATTACTATAGAATGGATATGATCGTACCATGCGGCTATTAATGATGCCAAACACTGACAGCTGTTAATGTCTTTTCCAAAAGGCAACGCGACGAAAGGCACTGCTTGTCGCCGTTGAGAATCTGACATGTGAAAGAAAATTCTATCTTATCAGCAGCCTCGCTAAGATTCATGTTTGTCCAGTTTTTCACACGTTAATGATTCGAACTTGTTATTCAAACAAATTGCCCTGCGGACGTTTCAAATTCCCCAGTATTTTACAAATGTACACGAGGAAGAGGCAGTCAGCGTTCCGAGCTCATTATTATCATTATTATCTGTCCTTCCCCCTCTCTCTCTCTCCTAATGGAATCAAGACTCTCCCTCTGGTGACCAGTAATTGTAATGCGTTGTATTAAATTGCATCTTGCTCACTTTCATTGTTTTGAAATCTTTTAGTTCCTCGAGAACATAGCTATTTCGGGGGCGTTTCCAATATCATCTTATCTGCCCTCTTAACTCGGCACCAGGTCTCGGAAAGAGACAGCGAGCAAGTTAACTATTCAGTCACTGTATCCTCCCCCATTTTGAGATAAAAACGATGCTGCTGAATAAATAATGATATCAATTACAAATGAAATGTATAAATCCAACTGTTTCAAAAGGTCATCACACTCAGTGAAAAACCAAGTGAGCTTGAAGGAAAAATGCTGTTGCTCAGCTCTTTAATTTCTTGATCTTCTGTCGTTCCTGGTCTCTTATCCCGTCTACATTAAAAGGTTCCCTTTGGATCGTGCACACGCGTTACACTGGGTAACGTAGTAATTAGGATCTTTTAATCTCCTTGTCATCATGATTCTTGTGTTTTCACAGTTTTATCGCAATATCTTATGATTTGTTCAGGAATGTTATCCAAAACCAAAGCCTCCTCAGCTGTTTTCCTTCCTTTCTTAAACGGCTTGGTCCAACCCTCATCAACATTCATTTCCTTTTTGTCTGGCTATTACGGTTGTATCTAATCGTCTTTCTTAGTCTGTGTGACGATAAAAGCCCTGATCCACTCGATTTCCTTCATAGCTCGTTATTGGTGGTCCCTTAATTGCTCTTAAATTGAAAAGACTTTGAAACTTCTTGTCAGTCATGATTGCCCTTTTCCTTGTGTCCCACCGAAACATAACATAATCCTTCATTATTCAACCTTGTTGATTACATTCTTTTTTACTCAGTAGTCTTTGGAACGCTGCTCTTTTACGAACGTTGTTTTTTTTCTTGAAGTGAATGGATACGGTTTCACTTCGTAAAAATTAATGTAAATGAGCATGGAGTAACAAGTAAGGAACCGATATTTTAGGCAAGGCGAACAATTAGAAATGAAAAAAGGGGGTAAGTTTCCAAAGAAACTGTGGTGCTGCGTCGGTGGGAGAGTATAGCAGGTAATTTAGTGTTAACAACTGAGTTGGAAACGTAAATTAGCCACCGTAAAGAGTTAAAAGGCTGAACAATTAAAAAATCTGACAAGTGTGCGACTTAATCGAATTACTGTGTGAACTGCAAAGCAAAGTTATCAAGATTGACAATTTTGTAAGAAAGGTGCTTTCGTCGAGTTCTCGAAAGCCGAAAAGGCACTCTGCAGGTAGAAGTCTTGCAGTGTCTAATAGACTTTCTCCTAAAAACTGGATGAAACACCCTCCCTAAGCATTCCACCTTTCCTCTCAGCAGTGTCATTTGACTTAACGCATTGAAGATGGACGATAATAGTAAAAGGTTGCGTCATCTATTAAACAAGTGTGGTAGTGAGACAATCGCATCCGGCGAGATAAAGCCACAGCAAGTAAAGGTAAATCTGACCACCATTACCTGAATTTTTCTTTAAATAGAACTGATTAGGCAACCAGAAACTCTAAAGAGGTTAAAACGTGCATCTCGAGTTTACAGGTCTTGGTCGAGGGGCCAGTAACGAAAATCACGAAATTATATCGCTTAATCGTTACGACCGCAGGGGCCAATATTTTTCCAGTACTCACTCAAATAAAATCATCAAAACGAAGTTAGCCAAATCCCGAAGTCTTCTAAAATATACGTACGTTCTAAAGATTATAAATCGAAAAATTCTTATGGCTAGAACAAAAGCCTACCTCTCTGTCTCTGTATTTTCTTTGGAGTCTAGTCACTTTCACAAACTTAAGAACCTCGTTGAAAATCCACATCCAGGAAGGAATTCAGAGGAATTCTGTGCGAGTGGTTCTCATGGCCCAATTACAGAGGTGTAATAGGGAAAATACTTATTTCTGGCCTTTTTTAAAGACCTCGTTCGAACCTAAAACCTAGGGACTAAATAAGTGCGTAATAAAACTTAGCGACACATTTCCAAACCATAAGGGAAACTCAAACCAGGAAAGGAGATGAATTTTATTCGTTTGTTTGATCGCGACATTTCTACTGCAATACTGCTAGTCTTCATTAGGCAGTGAGGTCGCTTGTTTACGTGTCGCTATTTGTAGCGCGTTGCTTCGTTGCTATTGGTGCATTTCGATCCTCATTATTATTCCGGTTGTTAGATGGTGTTCCCCCATAGGTCCTCATAAATCGGCTGTTGTGGAGTCTGATCGTCGAATAGACACTTAACAATACCACTCTGCACTGACTGAGGTTGGTGGGTGAATCCCTCCACTGGTACACACGTAGGGTTAAAGAGGCTATCCATATAAGATTTCATCTAAACAACATCAGTGGAGATAGTGGAATCAAAATTCACGAAGCTTGGATACTCACGATCAAACAACACAATAGCCGATCAAAGAGGACCTATGAGGGAACATCATCTAACAACCGGAATACTAATGAGGATCGAAATGCACCAATAGCAGCCGACTAACGTGCTACAAATGGCTTAAGGGGTAAGTTGGCCACCGTATAGAGTTAAAAGGCAGACGTTCAGAGCGTCAGAGCAATGAAGAATAGCAGCATTGCAGTGGAATCGTCGCGATCAACATCCAAAGTGACTTTATCGTGAAACAAAGGAATTAATTTCATCTTTTATCTTACACCACGATGAACAGAAAACTTATTTTATTACATCAAACCAGGAAGTAGAAATTGCCAAAAATCTGGGAGACAAGACTGGAGAAGGAAGGAGTTATGGCAACCTTGGCAATGCTTATCTTGGTCTAGGACAGTTCAAAACAGCCATCGACTACCATAAACGTCTTCTAGAAATTGCCAAAGAAGTGGGAGACAAGGCTGGAGAAGGAAGGAGTTATGGCAACCTTGGCAGTGATTATCATTGTCTAGGACAGTTCAAAACAGCCATCGACTACCATAAACAACATCTAGAAATTGCCAAAGAAGTGGGAGACAAGGCTGGAGAAGGAGCGAGTTATGGCAATCTTGGCAATGCTTATTGTAGGCTAGGACAGTTCAAAACAGCCATCGACTACCATAAACAACATCTAGAAATTGCCAAAGAGGTGGGAGACAAGGCTGGAGAAGGAGGGAGTTATAACAACCTTGGCAATGCTTATCTTGGTCTAGGACAGTTCAAAACAGCCATCGACTACCATATACAACATCTAGAAATTGCCAGAGAAGTGGGAGACAAGGCTGGAGAAGGAAGGAGTTATGGCAACCTTGGCAATGCTTATCTTGGTCTAGGACAGTTCAAAACAGCCATCGACTACCATAAACAACATCTAGAAATTGCCAAAGAGGTGGGAGACAAGGCTGGAGAAGGAGGGAGTTATAACAACCTTGGCAATGCTTATCTTGGTCTAGGACAGTTCAAAACAGCCATCGACTACCATATACAACATCTAGAAATTGCCAAAGAAGTGGGAGACAAGGCTGGAGAAGGAGCGAGTTATGGCAACCTTGGCAATCCTTATCGTAGTCTAGGACAGTTCAAAACAGCCATCGACTACCATAAACAACATCTAGAAATTGCCAAAGAGGTGGGAGACAAGGCTGGAGAAGGAAGGAGTTATGGCAACCTTGGCAGTGATTATCATTGTCTAGGACAGTTCAAAACAGCCATCGACTACCATAAACAACATCTAGAAATTGCCAAAGAAGTGGGAGACAAGGCTGGAGAAGGAAGGAGTTATGGCAATCTTGGCAATGCTTATCTTGGTCTAGGACAGTTCAAAACAGCCATCGACTACCATAAACAACATCTAGAAATTGCCAAAGAGGTGGGAGACAAGGCTGGAGAAGGAATGAGTTATGGCAACCTTGGCAGTGCTTATCTTGGTCTAGGACAGTTCAAAACAGCCATCGACTACTATAAACAAGATCTAGAAATTGCCAAAGAAGTGGGAGACAAGGCTGGAGAAGGAGCGAGTTATGGCAACCTTGGCAGTGCTTATGGTAGTCTAGGACAGTTCAAAACAGCCATCGACTACCATAAACAACATCTAGAAATTGTTAAAGAAGTGGGAGACAAGGCTGGAGAAGGAAGGAGTTATGGCAACCTTGGCAGTGATTATCATTGTCTAGGACAGTTCAAAACAGCCATCGACTACCATAAACAAGATCTAGAAATTGTTAAAGAAGTGGGAGACAAGAATGGGATTGCCCAGGCCCTTTGTAGTCTTGCTACAAATTTTGAAAGGCAGGAATGTCTCCAAACCGCCCTCGACTATTATATTTCTAGTAGAGAGATTTTTAATAACGTTCGGGCTAGTTTTCTGTTGCACGATAACTGGAAGATTTCGTATCGAAATGTTTGCAAAACAGCATACAATGGTGTTTGGCGCGTACTTTTACTGAAGGGTGAACACGTTAAAGCTCTTCTCGCTGCCGAGGAGGGACGTGCACAAGCTTTAAGAGATATCGTGGATTTAAAGTATAGCTTTCGACAAACCCTCACGTGGTCGAACTCTAGGAAATGCTCTGATTGTCTTTCATTACGAAACGTTTCATCAGATGTAGTTTTCCTAGCAATTACTGGACCTTACATTGCTTTGTGGACTATTCGGAACGGGGACGTCGTTCAATCGAGAATAAAGCATGTGAACAACTTTCTTTACCAACGTGAATTAGAAGTTTACATTACCTCTTTGAATAAGGCTGCTTCCTTGCAAGTTAGTGCAAGGGCTGCTGTTGAATGGCAAAAAAGTTCAACTCAAGTGGGCCGAGATGAAAAAGGAACGAGCGATGGTTCTCCGCGAAACGCGACGACTAATGCCCTGCGGAAGCTTTATGATATCATAGTTGCTCCTATCGCAGATCTGATTGATGGAGATGAGCTTGTATTTGTTCCTGAAGGTCCACTGTGCTTGGTGCCCTATGCAGCATTGGTGGATTCGAATTCAAGGTATCTGTGCGAATCTTTCAGGATTCGAGTAATTCCATCCCTAACCATTTTAAAATCAATCTCAGACTGCCCGACAGAATTGCACAATAAAACCGGTGCACTGCTCGTGGGTGATCCATGTTACAAGCAAGTCCTTTATCAGGGTGATTTGTTGAATCAGCTGCCGGGTGCAAGGAAAGAGGTGAAGATGATTGGAGGAATCCTCGGTATTGCTCCTCTCGTTGGAGGGGAGGCGACAAAGGAAGAGGTATTTAGACGAATTTCCTCAGTTGCGTTGGTTCACATTGCAGCGCATGGTAAAAAAGAAACAGGAGAGATTCTCTTGGCACCAAACACAAGTAGGACAACCTGTCAAGCTGAAGAGGAAGACTATCTACTGACAATGAGAGACGTGTTACGAGCCGAGCTGCGAGCGAAACTGGTCGTGCTAAGTTGCTGTCACAGCGCTTGCGGTGAGGTTATGGCCGAAGGTGTGGTTGGCATTGCGCGAGCGTTCTTAGGTGCCGGTGCTCGATCGGTTCTGGTATCCCTGTGGGCCATTGATGACGATGGTACTCAGGAGTTCATGAAACATTTCTACGGAGCGCTGGAAGAAGGCAAGGGTACTAGTGAAGCTGTCAATCAAGCCATGAAGTGCATGAGAGAGTCTGAAACGTTCAGCAAAGGGTATTACTGGGCGCCATTTGTACTCATTGGGGACGACGTGAAACTGGAATTAACGGAAATTAAAAGGTATCCATCGTAAGTATGCCTTTAATTTTGCTCAATCAACGAAAAGTGAGATGTTAATTATCACCTTTTTGTTCCTTGAGGTCAAACTCAATTTCATGTCTTTTATCTTCATTGCGTTCCTGCAGCCGAGGTAGAGGGTGCGCAAGGATAACACAAAACAGAAAAATACGTTTCTCGTTGACTTATTGCACTGCCTGTTGTTAATGCCGAGACTCGCAGTTTTTCTTTTGTAATAAAGCATGGCACTTAAATTTAATTTTTCGAGGAATTCAAGAAAAACATTCAATTTTGCGGTTCTTATACTTTTCTTGTAGGTCATCACTGATGGATTTGTTTGAAGACAAGAGGAGACCCCAGGCGTTTGGTACTGACTAATGACAATCAAAACAACCAGAGGCATGCGGGGTGACAAATTTAATGTTACACGGCGTTGAATTGAACAGGTTGAATCATTAAATAGCCCGCATTGATGCTATAATCAAATAAGCGATTTGTTACCATATCATTTAATAATAAACTGCCAAGTCAAATGGTTTAGTTTTAAAAGGAGATTTTTTGCGGAGATTGAGTGGTGTTGCGGCCATGTTTAAGACAAGTTATGCCGAGAAAACCTTTTAATTAATCTCACATGGTCTTCGTAAGGATTATACAGCGATGTTTTCTAAATCATAAGTTAAATACGAAACTTTATGGCCATGTGAGTTGTGTATTTCAATTTCATGGCTCCAAGCATCACCTAAGACCAAGTTTAACCTTTGGTGTTTGGCATATCTTACCTTTGAATTTTTAACTTGTTGTACGTTGTACACGTGATTGCTTTTTTTTACATGCATTTGGACATGCATTTGATACATTTTGACTCACTGGATTGATAACTTAGTTTTTTAATCTTGAAGCCTTTGCCAGCTTGGAAGAAATGTACTATCCAAAATGACTAGAGCAGGCATAAATCATGAACTGTGGAAAAAACGGAGTCCATTGATATTTACTTGGTACATAATCCAATTAAAATCCATTTCAGATCTTCGTTTCAGTTCTTCTTACTGTTTTTGCTTATTTCACGCAGTTTTCGCTCGGAAAATTGAGTGAAAAAGCAGGCGATGTTTTTAGATTATCACTCTTCTGCTTGATATTGCAAATTTAGCGTAAAAAGAACTTCTGAAAGAACGAAAACTAGAACACTATGAAATTCATATTCTGTTACACCCCTTCACTCTGTCTAAACTTTTCCCTTTTGCCCAATTAATTAAACAGGCTGTTAAATTACAAGGATAAGACCCACACCACACGTCTATTTCACTTGGAGGAGGGGAGCTGGTTCGAGTGAAAGAACGGTCAGCTTAAAAGGTCATTAAGTCTAAAACGAAATCTCCGTGTTTTTCCTACCACCCTGTTAAATAGGATACATTCCACTAGCGACCATGACTGTGCTTTTAAATTGCAACCAAGTATTTTTGCTCACCACTGGTTCACATGTTTCACACCAAATAAGCGGGGCTAGATTTCTGACACTTATCGAAATTTCAGGGTAGGGGCGCGGGCTCATTTCCTGAACAGCGAATGCTTTTCGATTCCAAACTGAAAATTTTTTACTGACAATTTGTTCTATTGACTTGCTCACCTTGACTTAGGGAAACATTTCAACTCTTTAACCCCTCGGAGCTACTATCATGTAATGTCTCCCTACAGTATCAAGCCGAGCTAAGTATTAAGGTCATGAGAATTAGGGGATTGATCGCCAAAATCCTCGTTGTCAGCAGCGTAGGAAATGTATAGCAAGAGAGCGGGTTAAAGAATTGGTTTCAGAGTGAACTCGTGGAGTAACTGACCAGAGTATGTGAGGTGATTTTTAAATAGCAAGAAGTCTAATAATTCACTATAGCCATACTCATCGGAGGAACAAAACAAGGGAATCACCTCACCATTACTCCACCTCAATCCTACGCGCACAGAAGATTGCAGGCCTTTAACGTCACTACAAAACAACTAAAGAGACTACAACATAGATCTATCTTTAAGTTAGATTTGTTTCTCGATTCTCGCCAAAAGTTTTCTTACAAATCGTTGGTAACTTTTCTGGATGCAAAGTAAAACAATGCCACCTAAATTAAGACAACTCTCAGTTTTTTTTTCCAATTCCAAAGTTTGTTCAGTTTATTTCTTCTCTTCCTCATCTTCTCCTTCAGTCTGTTTTGCAAAGTACTTCTTCTTTTCTGTTGGATCAGGTATGATCGTCTCTTTACCAGGCTTCCAACCGGCCGGACAAACTTCCCCGTGTTTGTCAGTATATTGGAAAGCCTGGACTAAACGTAAAGTCTCGTCGACTGATCGGCCCACCTGCGAAATAACCAGTTTAGATTAACTTCTCTGAGTAGCTAAGTTATAAATAGTACTTCACACTTTATAAAACCAAAGACCGCGAACCGCAAAAAAATCAGGAGACTGGACACCAGGAGCCTTTTTTCTTGATACTATCTACTCAGCTTTTTTTCTCCCTTGTCCAAATCAAAATCGAAATATCGTTATTTTTCTAATGAAATAATAAAAACGTCACAAAATAAAAGGAAAGGGATCCCCACTGCTTAACACTTAAACAATGAGCTTGAGATTTTTACCACGTGACAGTGGACGAGGGCCAGACTCGAATCAAATTATATGAATGGACAGATAAATTTTCTCAGCGTATCAAGAACAATTAACTGTAGAAGAACTGTAGAAGCAAACAGCTACATAAAACTCGCAGTAGAAATTCGCGGTACAATTACAGTCATACAAGTAAAGTTACAACATACCGGTAGATCATTCATTGTGATCTGTCGTAGAGTCCCTTTGTCATCGATTATAAATAGACCCCTGAAATAGAACAACAGGCATGCAATAAAAGTGGTCATAGAAGTAAGAATATTCTCACCTTAACCAAATCTCCCCTGCCTAACTATCAGACCTGTTATATAGCATGAAGGAAGCAAAGTATAGCAACCTGATCAGACCTGGTCTGAGAGTGTATTTAATCCATGGATGTTATGCCCATTACGGGAACATCTCCCCCCCCCCCCCCCAGCTCCCCCTCAAAAGTAAGGGGAAGGGGAAAAAACAATCCAACCAAGAGAGACTCTTCAGTATATGAGTTAAGTTTTTCTTAACTATGTGGTGTAACAGCCAACAATGCAACAAGATAATGCCAGTCAGGTGCTCAAAACTGGATATCTTGATCCAGGGTAGGAACAATTCAACAGGTACAAGGATTGCTCTACTAGCTGTTTTGAGAATTCCTTAAATTACCAATCATGCTTAAAATAAGGGTGAACACTGCTGTAGCAATATATATCTTTGTGATTACCCATGGAGTCATTCAAACGTTCTCTCCTGGATGACTATATTGTAATAATCTAACACTTTACACAAACATATAGAATGAATGTAACTTCAAACTGAAATACATTTTATGGTAGATTTTTTTACCAAAAATGGAAATTCTTCCTTTTTACTTTAATTTCTGGCATTCTACAAATCTTCAATATAAATTGGAAATACCTTTCTCTGTTTTTTTAAAACTCTCAAATCCTTTAAAGTTACAAATTCAGTTCAAATTTAGGATTGACCCTTAAACCCCAAAGAGTGACCAACATCTAATTTCTCCTAACAACATCACTCTTACATCAAACATTTAGGTCATGAGAATAAAGGAAATGATCACCAACTAAAGAAACTCTTGATTGTTGAACAAATTCTCCTTGTCAGAACCCTTGGAAATGTCTAGAGAGTAGTAATGGAGAATATACATACTGATGTTAGGGTGTAAAGGATTAACATACCAAGCTAAATGGGTAAAAACTGAATCTACTGAACAACCAACAACTTCAGTGTTGATTGCCCTGAACTCTTCAATTCTGTCACTAAAGGCAATGATCTCCGTTGGACAAACAAAAGTGCTGCAAATGACAACAAATAGCTGTTATTTGTAATGATTCAATTTAAAATAATATGCATGCAATTAATGAAACTTTTAATATCAGTCACCTTGAGAACAATGTTGACTACTCAGTAGCAATTGCAGAGAGATGACTAATTTGGCAGGATAGCATGAAGGTATAGCAAAGTACAGCAAACTTTTAGTCAAAGAGTATTCTAACATCTAATACTCACAAGTCAAGGGAATAGAAAAAGAACACCAGATATTTTCCTGTGTAGGAAAAATTCATAAATATAACACAAATTAGAATAAACTGGAAAGAAAAGAGAAATCATCAACAGATGACCAAAAACATCAAGTGAACATGCCAGAATTTGAGCAAGGGGAAGGTTTATCAAAAATCTGTAGAAAAAACTGGAAGAAGAAGACAAATCATTAACAGATAATGAGAAACATCACAGAAACATGCCAAAAATTGAGCAAGGGGAAGGTTTTTGAAAGAGATAATAATATTTTTAACCAATGTTTCATTAGATGTATTATTTTGGTCACAACAGGTCACTTGACTGAATCTGCCTCGTGCATCCCCAAACAGGCAATGCCCATGCACTGAAAAATATGTGTTCATTCAAGCCCAGGCAGAGGCCTCTGTTTATATAATAGCACATACAAAAAGGAAAATATTTATAAGCATTACAGTTTCAAACTGCTCCTGGCAGAATTACCAGTAGCCACATACAAGAACTTTACAAACCTGTGATTGGACTTCACATATGGCTCTCAGTTTTCCAAGTTACAGCTGTATCTATGAGCTCACAGAAAAAAAAACTTACATCTAGAATCAGTCATCTTCAAATACTTGAACTCTCCATTAACAACTGCAGTCCCTTCCCAATGATCGAGGTTCTGGTTTAGAAACTGTGCAGAAAAAGACTCAAAGGTCACCATTTTACATCTAAAGGACAATATTTATATCAAAATCAGAAACAAAAAGGGAACACAAAAAAGATTTCTCCTATCAAGAACTCAGATATTCTGGGACTGAATTGCCCTTTCCAAACACCAAAGACTTTTTTGCTACACTTCACCACCCCTTTCTCAATAACTCCAAAGAGCTGAGTTTAAGCAAAGGGTGTTCCCAATCCCATTTCAAACACTGATTTTAGAAAAATTCATGTTTCACCAATACTTTAAACAGCATTTCATGCATCAAAAATTTAAAAGGGAAATTTCATATCACTCTTTTTAAGTGCAATCTTCCAGGCAGGGAAATCTTTAGGTTTTCACAAAATGATAGAAAAAATAAGCTGGTTTCATAATAGGAGGCAAATCAGGCTTCAAAATGCTTCATAAATTCACAAATTGAGCTAGCCTTTCTTTAAAGTTCACATGTCACAAATTAATTTTGACATTAATCACGAGTTTACTGTGCATATAAACCTTTTGCCATCCTCTCCAAACATTTGATTTTTTATGAGCCACTCCAACTGTTAAATGTACATCATTCCATGTCAATTACCTCAGAGAATCTGGAGTTACCACATTAATACAATGTATTTGGCTGTAACCAATATCCTTGCTATAAGCCAACTGACCCCAAACTTCCAATGTGTAAAATTAACTCAACCCTTTAAATTCCAAGATATGGCTGTTAATTCTCTCTTCTAGCTGCTACTTATTTCCTTATAAATTAGTAACAAGAATTTGGTGTTAAATCAAGATAACAAATTCTAATTGAGAAGCATTCACATCACCTGTTTGCTGGATAATGTATGAACATTATAAGGAAAAATTACACATTCGTCACTTTTGGGAATTAAAGGGTGAACCAACGTGAATATTAGTCAAGACCTATTCTTGGACTTTATGTACATGTATAAAAAAGACCCAACAATTTTGCATACATTTACACTAAAATCTGCTTTTCTCTCAAATGAAATTTGTAAAAAAGCTATGCAATGAAAAGATGAAAGTTAACAAAGGTTCCCCTGCATAAAACACATGCACAAAAAAATTGAAGCTTTACTTTGAGTGAAAATAACTTGGCTTATAGCTGAATAGTTACAGTATATCAAAATGATACCCTCAAGGTCACAAGTTTTTCAATTGTTATCACCTAGCTGTTGTTGATATTGTCAATACAGAGTTACTGTTATTAAGTGAATTGAGAAACATGATTAGGAAATAAATGTCACCTTACAGCTTATGGCAACCTTGAGTAAATGCTGCAATGCAAATGCTGAAAATCTAATAAACACCTTGACTTTTGATCAAAGGAGCAATGAAAGTGGATCATTTGTAAATTTTCCACAAAATTAACATTAAAAAAATTATGAGAGCTTGAAAATTTTAAATTCCATAAAAATCAATTGATGATTTGTATGACCAAAATTGAGACTGCAGACTGGGTACAAAGTACATGCTGCATCAAAATATTTCTCTCTTGCTAAACACAGCATACCAGCATGTATTAGTATAAGATGCTGAGTGAAAAACACTTAATAATATTCCCTGGAAGAGCATTACTGTTAAAATGTCATAACTAAAACTTATCTCCCTAATATATTTCAATCAGTGTTTATTCACATTGTGTATACTGCAATCTTTCCCTTCAACCCTTTAACTCCAAATAATAATTCTCCTTACTGTCTGCCATACCATTCTTATGATGCTAGTTCAAAGAATTTGTTATTGGATCAAATAATCCCCTAAATGATACTTTTCTTTATTCTCATCACTTTTTTGTTTAATTGATATTGTCTTGTCACCCATGGGAGTTAAAGAGCTAAGTAAAACACTGAAAATGCCAAGCTCAGAAGGCATTAAACAATTATTTTTAGAAGAATGTAGGTGTCATGCTTTAAAATTCCAGACATGGGCAGTGAGAATATTTTAGCAATGGACATTATTACATAATGAGCATAATTAGAATTTATATGGCGCACAGATATGAATGATCCAATACCCTTCGCAGAAAATAAAAAAATTTTCAATGATAATGGCAGCTAACTAAAATCAATATAAAGTTACATAGAGATAAGAAAACCTTCTAATTCCCTTGAGAAGATAAAAACACTTCATTACTGGAGGCAACAAACTAAAAGCTTGGCTCAAAAGGTAAGTTTTAAGACTATGCTTAAAACTAGGTACAGGTCAGTGATGTCACTAAGTAGACTTCCAGTCTCAATCACTCTGATAAAGGGCTAAGGCTCAAAACATCAACTGTTAAACTCTTTACAGTGGCAAATTTACCCTATCAATTCAGTTGATAATACTAAATTACCCTGGTATAATCTCTCTCACCAACATAGCACCACGGTTTCTATAGAAACTTACCCCCTTTATTCCAAAGGTTCCATCACCATGGAATATGACCTCAGCAAGTTGATAAAGGGGTCATAAGAAGTTAATTATCAAGTGCGTGCACAGTGCAAAGCCTCAGGTGGATACTGGTGTAAACACAAGCTCAAAGAGGCTGTGTATTCTCCTAACCTTGGTTTCTGAAAATCCATCCCACAATGACAGCTGATTCTTTTGTAAAAAGTTAGCTCTTGGTTTGCTAAGGGAATAACTCTACAACAACAAAGCTCTAGAGCACTGACTAAGGGAAACCTTTGCCACACTTAGTGCAAGGAATGAAATGTTATGGGAACAGAAATGAACACACTACATATTCTTAACATAGATTTTTCCATAGATATCAAAACACAAATGCAACAAACTAAACATTCAGAATCAGGAGTTTTTTGTTCTAATCTTGACCCTCATTTAAAATGTTTTTCGGTTATGGATGGATTTGTTCTGCAATAGTTTCCATCTATAACTAGTTAAAAATTAAAGGTTCCAATGACACATACTGCATGTACTATCCAATGTTTAGCCAATGCCATGTTTGAGTTTAAACCTGTCTCTCTTGATCATTAAAATCCCCTTTTACACAGAAAAGTTTTTTCTCGCACAAAGGGCAAAGGCTCTGCTTAGAAATTAAGAAATTCTATTGACATGTACCAGTAAATAGAAGAAGATAAAAGAAAAGATCAGTTTCCTTATCTTTAGAAGTTCCTCTTTGAACTATTTACACTTAATTTTCTCAGCAACAGTTTGGTGTGGTAAGTATTCTCCTACAGTGTAAGTATAATATTCATTGTAAGAGGAGGACATTTTGGAGTTTAAATACTAGCATTTGTGGGTTAATTAGAAAAATCTGCTTTCATTTAGCTAAGAACTTTCTTTGAAGAGAAATTCTAACCCAGATTAAATATGCCAACAAAACAACCTCTTGCTCTCTAAGAAAAACAAATCAACTGTGTTTGCTCCAATCAGTCAAGAAAAAAATATTCAATTTTCCACCTGGAAAATATTTCTTCCATAACTAAAACTGATTTAAAATTTCTCTTTCAAAATATTATCATTGGCAACAGGGGTGTAATTAAAAAATGGCTTATCTTTATGGTGATGTCCAAGTTACATTCATCAAATTAAATATGATAAGCATTTGCCAATAAACAACTTCCAAAGAGCATAAAAGGATAGTTATTGCCCTATAGAATTTTCAGGATATAGTTCATAATCTTTTGTACTATTCTCACAGAAGTATTTCTAGGAAACATCTAAGGCTTTTTCTAGGAGGAGAGTAGTTAGAGAAATGAAATCATTTCAAGGAAACTTTATAAAATGACATTGGGTTCATATTTTATTGTAGTAACATTTTGTAATAATTTCGTTTTGTTGTTCTTAGAGAAAAAGAAGAAATGAAAATTAGTTTGGTATTCCAAAAGTTACTTGAAAGAACTTTTATTAGTCCATGGATACATTCAATATAAAATATATCAATGAAAGTGAAATTTCATCTGTGAGAAAATGTATGAGGAGTATATAAGTAGGTAAATCTCTTGGTATTTTTCATTGACTGGTAAAAGCTACAATAAAAATTATAAAATTCAAATATTTACATTTTGTATGTGATTTCCACTTGAGAGACTTTACCTTAACGGAGAATTACATTAACCCAGTCCACCAGACTAAATGACATCCAATGAGTTTTGTGAATGATGAAGAAAGTAAATTTTTTGAGTTACAACAGTTTTCAAGGAGTTGTTTTAAATGTTTGACCTGAAAATATTTACAAAATCTAGGAAATTATCTGTCGTAGGAATTTGTTTCATTTGAAAATAACCTTTTAACTGGTTCACCAGCTCTTGAATAACAGTTGCTCAATTCATTTAATCCTTTCACCCCCAGATCTAATTAGTAATTCTCCTTATTGTCTGCCAACCAATTCTTATGACAATAGTTTGGAGAATTTGGTAGTGGGTCAACTAATAATCTCTCAATTGTCTCCTTGATGTTGTATTCATTTGCTATGGTAAGGAAAATTCTTGGTTTCTTGGTCACTCATGGGAGTTGAGGGTAATAAGCTGAGACTTCTTCTCTGCTGGAAAATGTGATTGGTCATTTTTTAATCTTAAGAGGACTTTTAGTTAAATTCATTCAGTGCAGAAATCATTCCCTGAAAGTTTAATGTTACTGTACATTGAAAAACATACTTTACGATAGTTGCTACTGACAGTAACTTTACTTTCTACTTTGTTATCATCAGAACATTTTGGATAGTCAAACTTATGTGTATTATATATAGCAACGTTCTCTAATTTCTTACTGTAAAGTTAGTCAAACAACTTACTATTTGCAGAGTTCTCCATCATCAATCTCCTGTGCATTTTCCATTCCAATTATCCAATCCTATTTGAATCCCTGTTTTTGTCCTCATCTTACAACTCTGCAAATCCAATAAAATAATTGATTAATAACATAAAACACACATGGTTAGTTTTCTTTTTGTCAGATAAGCCATCTACTGTGTTTAAACTAGCATTAGTGGCCTTATTAACCCTTTAACTCCCATGAGTGAC